CTGTGTCAAAACCCTCTGTCTTCAAAACCCTGGCTGTCTTCAAAACCCCTGGCTGTCTTCAAACCCCTGGCTGTCTTCAAAACCCCTGGCTGTCTTCAAAACCCTGGCTGTCTTCAAAACCCCTGCTGTCTTCAAAACCCCTGGCTGTCTTCAAAACCCCTGGCTGTCTTCAAAACCCCCGGCTGTCTTCAAAACCCCCGGCTGTCTTCAAAACCCCTGGCTGTCTTCAAAACCCCTGGCTGTCTTCAAAACCCCTGGCTGTCTTCAAAACCACTGGCTGTCTTCAAAACCCTGGCTGTCTTCAAACCCTGGCTGTCTTTCAAAACCCCTGGCTGTCTTCAAAACCCCTGGCTGTCTTCCAAAACCCTGGCTGTCTTCAAAAGCCCCTGGCTGTCTTCAAAACCCCTGGCTGTCTTCAAAACCCCTGGCTGTCTTCCAAACCCCGGCTGTCTTCAAAACCCTGCTGCTCAAAACCCCTGCTGTCTTCAAACCCCTGTCTTCAAACCCTGGCTGTCTTCAAAAACCCCTGGCTAGCCTCAAAACCCCAAAACGTTCCAACCCTGGCTGTCTCAAAACCCCTGGTCTTCCAAATCGTAAACCACCTGCCTTTTGCCGCGGACTGCAACAAAAGCAAGTGTTCGAAAGTCCACCCGCGTTCAAAGCCCCTCGCTCGTTAAACCATACTCTCAAAATCGTGATTTCAAAACTGTAATTTTCAAATCCATTTCCAAAACCCTGGTTCCTTAAACCTCTGTTCAACACAGGTCTAAAAACCGGTAAGTCACCCCGGCATTACCGGGGGTGTAAAACTCTCCTCTTCAAACCCTTAGCTAGTCCATTCGAAAACCTGGTGTCTTATTCAAACTTGCATGACTTATATGTCAATTGCAAAATCAGACTCTATAAAACCATAGATACATTGAACCAGGAATAGTGACTTCGTACTCAGCTAACATGGAATAACAAGCAAGTTACAATAACAAAATTAACAAATTTGCGATGATTATAGAAGACCGGATTATGTCAAGAGTACCCAAAAAGTCAAGACTTCGATAACCCGCGGATCAAGAGATCTCCATGTCAGTAATATCTAATGTACTATTTGTAAGTAACGTAGCTCATTCAATATGCAAACATTCAGTCGAAACTCAAACCGGGAATCGAACATGAAAATGCACTATATACTGAATAATTACCACATCTGGTTTAATTACTTAGTATTTATGCAATACCTAATAAAACCTCTCAAGTCACTTCAACTCTTTAAACGAACAACTCAAATCCCCAGCAGAATAACCTAGTGGTTGAGCACATGACTGACGAAATTCAAAAGCCCAGTAATCACATAAACTAATGCCATGACCACCTGTTGACAAACCCTTGAGCAGATTGCATACATTGCCAACACCTGTCTACTCCAACTACCTGCATACCTGCTTGCTTAAGCCTGAGTTAACCCTTGCTGTCTTCAAGCCCCGGTTCAAACCTGCAATACTTGAAACGATGTTAAAAATGGTTTTCAACTCTGTGCTTCAGACCTTGTCTAACCTTTCCCCTGTGTTCAAACCCCTCTCCAACCCTGCTGTCTTCAAACCCATGGCTGTCTTCAAAACCCTGACTAAACTTTTAAAACCCTGCTTTTAAAACCCCTGGCTGTTAACCTGCGCTTCAAACCCCTGGCGTCTCAAAAACCCTGGCTTTCAAAACCCTAGCTGCTTAAAACCGCTCAAATCAAAACCCCTGGCTGTCATCAAAACCCCTTGGGGCTTCAAAACCCCCGTGCTCAAACCTGCTGATCCAAAACCACGGTGTTCAAAAACCTGCTCTCAATATCAAGGCTTCTCAAAACCCTGGTGTCTTCAAACCCTGGCTTTCCCCCCCCTGGTGCTTCAAAACCCGCTGTCTTCAAACCCTTTCTTCAAACCCCGGCTTTTCAACCCCCCTGGCTCTTCAAAACCCTGGCGTCTCAAACCCGGCTTCAAAACCCCTCTGTCTTCAAACCCCGTTGTCTTCAAACCCCTTTGTCCTTCAAACTCTGGCTTCTTCAACTCCCTGGCTGTCTTCAAACCCCGCTGTCTTCAACCCCGTCTTCAAACCCACCGCTGCTTCAAAACCCCTGCTCTCTTCAAAACCCCTGGCTGTCTTCAAAACCCCTGGCTGTCTTCAAAACCCCGTTCTTCAAAACCCCTGGCTCTTCAAAACCCCTGGCTGCTTAAAACCCCGCTGTCTTCAAAACCCGGTGTCTTCAAAACCCCTGGCTGTTTCAAAACCCCTGCTGTCTTCAAAACCCCCGCTGTCTTCAAACCCCCGGCGTCTCAAACCCCGCTGTCCAAACCCCTGGCTGTCTTCAAACCCTGGCTGTCTTCAAAACCCCTGGCGTCTTTAAAACCCCTGTTCCAAACCCTGTCTCTCAAAACCCCGGCTTCTTCAAGCTGTCTTCAAAACCTCTGGCTGTCTTCAAACCCCGGTGTCTTCAAAACCCCGGCTGTCTTCAAAACCCCTGGCTGTCTTCAAAACCCCTGCTGTCTTCAAACCCCTGCCTTCAAAACCCCGGCTTCTTCAAAAACCCCGGCTGTCTTCAAAACCCCGGCTGTCTTCAAAACCCCGGCTGTCTTCAAACCCTGGCTGTCTTAAACCCCTGGCTGTCTTAAAACCCGTGCTGTCTTAAACCCCTGCTTTTGTCTCAAAACCCCTGGCTGTTCTTCAAAACCCCTGGCTGTCTTCAAAACCCCTGGCTGTCTTCAAAACCCCTGGCTGTCTTCAAAACCCCTGGCTGTCTTCAAACCCCTGGCTGCTCAAAACCCCTGTTGTCTTCAAAACCCGGGTGTCTTCAAAACCCCTGCTGTCTTCAAAACCCCTGGCTGTCTTCAAAACCCCTGGCTGTCTTCAAACCCCTGGCTGTCTTCAAAACCCCTGGCTGTCTTCAAAACCCGCTGCTTCAAACCGCTCTTCAAAACCCCTGCTGTCTTCAAAACCCTGGCGTCTTCAAAAACCCCGCTGTCTTCAACAACCCTGGCTGTCTTAAAACCCCTGGCTTGTCTTCAAAACCCCTGTTCTTCAAACCCTGCTTCAAAACCCCTGGCTGTCTTCAAAACCCCTGGCTGTCTCAAAACCCCTGGCTGTCTTCAAAACCCCTGGCTGTCTTCAAAACCCCTGTGTCTTCAAAACCCCTGGCTGTCTTCAAACCCTGGCTCTTCAAAACCCCTGGCTGTCTTCAAAACCCCTGATGCTCTCTTCAAAACCCTGGCTGTCTTCAAAATCCCTTCTTCTCTCAAACCCCGCTGTCTTCCCCTGCCAAACCCCGCTTCTTCAAAACCCCTGCTGTCTTCAAAACCCCTGCTCTTCAAAACCCCTGGCTGTCTTCAAAACCCCGGCTGTCTTCAAACCCCTGGCTGTCTTCAAAACCCCGTTGCTGTACCCTGCTGCTAAAACCCCTGGCTGTCTTCAAAACCCCTGGCTGTCTCAAACCCCCGTTGTCTTCAAACCTTCATGCTTCAAAACCCGTTGTCTCAAAACCCCTGCTGCTAAACCTTCAAACCCGTGTCTACCTGCGATCTTCAAACCCCTGCTGCTTCAAACCATTCTCAACACTCCTCTTGCTTCAAAACCCCGCTGTCTTCAAACCCCTGGCTTGTCTTCAAAACCCCTGTTTGTCTTCAAAACCCCTGTTTGTCTTCAAAACCCCTGTTTGTCTTCAAAACCCCTGTTTGTCTTCAAAACCCCTGTTTGTCTTCAAAACCCCCGGCTGTCTTCAAAACCCCTGTTTGTCTTCAAAACCCCTGTTTGTCTTCAAAACCCCTGTTTGTCTTCAAAACCCCTGTTTGTCTTCAAAACCCCCGGCTGTCTTCAAAACCCCCGGCTGTCTTCAAAACCCCCGGCTGTCTTCTAAACCCCCGCCTGTCTTCAAGATGCAGCTGGACAGACACGTAAAGTCAGTACCTGACCAGCCGGGCTGTGGTTCCTACTTTGGTTTACGTACTGCCAGTAGTAACCTGGTTCTTCAGGTCCTGATCCACCACAAGACCTGGTCATGGACCTGGCCGCGGGGGCGCTGACCCCTGGAACACCCTCCAGTTGATATCCAACATCACACACACCATCACCAAAACAACCACGAGGGGAGTTGAATGATAGCTCTAGGCCTTTCGTGTTGCAATCAACACATTATCAGGAGCTTGCAATATTGCGGTAAGGAGGAGGATGACCGCGCTCCCTGTGATCGTATCTGCTTCCACCTCCTCCTCTTTATTGCAACATTGCAAGCTCCTGATGATATGCTGATTGCAACACGAAAGGCCTAGAGCTATCATTCGACTTCCCCCATGGTTCGCGATTATTGCATAAAGTATATTACCCAGCAATTCTTGCCAGTATTTTATGCAAATTACCAGCCTGAAATATTTGCATATATAACCATTTAAACCATTTATAACCATTTAAACCATTTATAACCATTTAAACCATTTATAACCATTTAACCCCTCAAGGAAGGTTCCTTGATGTTGGTCAGGGGCTCTTGATTTAGGGAATTGGATCTGTGCTCCAGTTCCCTGAATTAAGCCTGAATGCCTTCCACATCCCCCCCCAGGCGCTGTATAATCCTCCGGGTTTAGCGCTTCCCCCTTGATTATAATAATAATAATATAACCATTTAGATATATACAAGCGCTAAAATTTCCATTAACTTCATTTTTCGACTAAGTATTCAAAAATCAAATTTTTTTACTATTTCCTGACCTATCTTTTATCTAAATATGGAAATACATTGTTTAAATTTATATATAACATTTCTAGATTGTAATTTGATTGATAAAATATCGTAAATATATATATATGTATATATATATATCAATATTAATAAGGTGAATCTAAAGGCTGATCGTTTTCTATGATGAAGAGAAAATGGGCGTCGAGATTTTATGGGTAACTGAGGTATAATATATTACCCGTGTAACGTGTCGCAACTCACTAGGTTGTTGTGAAGGTTACAAAATACAGTACAGATACAAAAATTTATTTCTTTGCAAAGGTTGCAGTGTGTGATTATATTTCATAATTTGATTGGTACAAATAAAGTCAGTATCATACCGGGGCATTTCGGGCAGGTAGTGGGCCCTTCTTAGACCCAATAGAAATAAGTCAATCTGACTTTTTTGGGTTATCCCAGGTTGTCTACACATATGCTGCTATGTATTTGTGTATACCTGAATATACTTACTAATTCAGTACTACTGTAACTGGTTTGGGCTCCAGTCCCTGGACCCATTACGTGCCTCTGTGAATTGGCTACCACCTGCAGTATGGGTATGGGGTGCCTACCACCCACACCATGAGAATATGGGGATTACCACCCCAGGATGCCACCCACGACAGTCTTATAGCTTTTGGGTATTACTTTACTGCTAGATAACAGTTTTGTGAGTTATGAATTGTTCCTGTCTTTATTACATGTATCGGTAAAGCCTCGGGAGCACGGTACCTCTTTACTACTAGGTAATAAGGTTATGAGCTACTTGTGAATTACTGCTACCATTGTAAACAAACCACGGAACCGATGGGGTTTAAACCACCCATTTAAACCCAGATTAGTGCATTTTTATTCTTTATTACTCAGGTTTACAAAGACTCTGGAGTGTAGTACCTCTTCTAGGTAACAAGGCTAGGTGTTACTTATGAATTATTCCTGCTAGAATATCGCAGCTTTCTTTATTAACGAGTTCTGCGACGCCTCAGGAACGTAGTACCAAGCCAGTCACGTTGCTAATCCAGGAGATGTATTTGCCCACGTCCATATAAACAGCAGGCTTGCCAGGGCGGGCACAGCCTTCTCTCCAGGACATAAGGGCAGTCAAAGTATCTCCGTTAGCTGTGACACACATCAACGCACCTCCGTTGTCGCCCTGAAAGAAAAACCGCTACAGTGAACATTAGTTCACTGTTAATATATCATAACAGTGAGTATGCGTCGTATTTACAACACTAGTCAGTTCTACCAGCCAGCTAGAACTGCACTGGTGTGTATATACAAACCAGTGCAGTTCTGTCAGCCAGCTAGAACTGCAGTGTTATGTGCATACAAAGTATATATCTCCACTAACCACAACGTTTCGCCCTGTATAAAGTTCTTCAGGGAGCGAAATGCTGTTACAACCGAGGCTTGTTCTACCCCTGTGTACAGTACTGAGAGCAGTGCGGTTCTGAGAACCCCTTTATAAATCCCCTTAGAAGGTATCGCATACAAGTACTTACTACACAGGAGCCAGCACCTCCTTGCCCGGCACATAAGTCTTTCTGACCCAGTGCTGGGTATGCTGCCTGGCACTGATGTCTGGGCATGAGAGGAACATCCACGAAGATAAGGATTCTGGAGCCTGGGGCTCCCTCGTTGCTAACACCCCAGCCTGCTTCACGACAGTCACCCTCTGTAACACAACCACTATTATCATTATAATAATTGTTATTATTATACTAGTAACAATAGTATGAGTATTGTTATTACTTTTATTATTATTAGTAGTAGTAGTAGAAGTAGTAGTAGTATAATTGTTGTTGTTATTATTATTATTATTATTATACTAGTAATAATAGTATCACTTGTTATTATTACTTTTATTATTATTATTATTATTAGTAGTAGTAGTAGTACTATAATTATTATTATTATTATTATTATTATTATTATTATTATTATTATTATACTAGTAACAATAGTATGAGTATTGTTATTACTTTTATTATTATTATTAGTAGTAGTAGTAGTATAATTGTTATTATTATTATTATTATTATTATTATTATACTAGTAATAATAGTATCACTTGTTATTATTACTTTTATTATTATTATTAGTAGTAGTAGTAGTAGTAGTAGTAGTACTATAATTATTATTATTATTATTATTATTATTATTATTATTATTATTATTATTGTTATTATTATTATTATTATTATACTAGTAATAATAGTATCACTTGTTATTATTACTTTTATTGTTATTATTATTGTCATTAAGGCTGGTTGATTGTTTAATCTGTTTAAATGTTTATTAACCACACGAGGGTCATTAAGGCTGCGGTCACTGGTTCACCGCCGGTCAAAAACACATTTGTTTACCTAAAAAAGTATTTGAAGTATATTTTCAGTGTATATACACTAAGAGACATATACCTCTCGGTGTATATACCTTGTATATATATCCCAGAATCTTTAGTCATCTGTAAGATCTGAGAGGGAATAGATCTGTGCTGTGACAGGTGTCTCTCAGCAGAGTTTGTGTTGTCTCTTTCACGCTTACCTATAATGATGATAATAATAATAATAATAATAATAATAATAATAATAATAATAATAATAATAATAATAATAATAACCTTTATTTCTACACGTACATGTACAAGGTATACATACCATAGTTGACATCAGTGACATACTATATAGAAAGCCCCTTGTTTTACAGAGCATTTCGGGCAAATTAGGTTAATTTTGTCCCCAGGATGCGACCCACACCAGTCGACTAACTCCCAGGTACCTACTTACTGCTAGGTGAACAGTGACAATAGGTGTCTTAAGGAAACACGTCCTAATGTTTCTACTCGTACCGGGGATCGAACCACAGACCTTAGTGTGAGATCTGAACCCTCCTAGCGGTCGTCTACCCTAAGTGTACTAATTTTAGATTCTCCTAATAAATAACTATACGATTTTAATCCGATATAAAATATATAAATAGCTAATTACCACTGGAACCTGTTCAGCTATCAAAACTTTGTGGCCCAGAGGCACATAATAGGCCCAGAGACTGTACCTCAACATTACAGAGGTACACAGAGGGTCCAGGGACTGTGCCTCAACATTACAGAGGTACACAGAGGGTCCAGGGACTGTACCTCAACATTACAGAGGTACACAGAGGGTCCAGGGACTGTGCCTCAACTTTACAGAGGTATATAATGGGTCCAGGGACTGTACTTTAACATTACAGAGGTACATAATGAGTCCAGGGACTGCACCTCAACATTACAAAGGCACGTAATGGATCTAGGGACTGTACCTCAACATTACAGAGGCACGTAATGGATCCAGGGACTGTACCTCAACATTACAGAGGTACACAGAGGATCCAGGGACTGTACCTCAACATTACAGAGGTACATAATGGATCCAGGGACTGCACCTCAACATTACAGAGGTACACAGAGGATCCAGGGACTGTACCTCAACATTACAGAGGCACGTAATGGATCCAGGGACTGTACCTCGACATTACAGAGGCACGTAATGGATCCAGGGACTGTACCTCGACATTACAGAGGCACGTAATGGATCCAGGGACTGTACCTCGACATTACAGAGGCACGTAATGGATCCAGGGACTGTACCTCGACATTACAGAGGCACGTAATGGATCCAGGGACTGTATTTAAAAGTTCTGATAGCTAAACATATTACAGTGTCCTTCCTTTTTGACCTTCTTATGTAATATTGGACCCTGCGGCCCCTGGGGCCCGGTCTGTGACCAGGCCTCATGGAGGCCTGGTCACAGAC